GTGGCCTAACCAGTGACCTGTACAATGAAAGTATAACCTCTTTAGTCTTTTATTCAATATTTCTATAGATACAACCTAAAATCCTGTTTCCCTACCACTAGCAACAACACACTGCTTGGATGGCTTAAGAGACTGATCAACTATTACACCAAGATCCCTTTCCTTCATAACACTGTTAAGGTTATTCCCATCCAAATTATACTTATAATTATGATAACCCACATGTATTTATTTGCCCAACTCACTAAATGATCTATATCCTTCTGTAATTCAGCAGCATCCTCTTCACAGCTAGCAACACACAAGACCTTAATATAATCTGCAAATTTAAGTAATTTATTGACTATCCCTTCATCTATGTCATTAATGTAAATCAAAAAGAGCAAAGGTCCTGAGACTGAGCCCTGAGGTGCCCCACTTGTAACATTAATCCAGTTTGACTGAACTCCATTTGTAACAACTCTCTACTTTCTTCCATCTAGCCACTCTTCTAGCCAATTTGCTAACTTATCCCCCACACCTATAGATAATTTTTACAAACCTTTTATGTGGCATCTTGTCAAATGCTTTCTGAAAATTCAGATACACCCAATCTACACCCTCACCCTCATCTACATAAGTAGTAACCTTCATGTACAACACTCCCTATATGTCTACCTCAATTTCTAAAGTAAAATGGCTCACTTTTTAAAATAATTTGAGACAAAGCAATTTGAAATGCAATGTAAATTTTCTCTGCTTCTGTGTTTTACTGAAAAATGTCTTCTTCTTAACATCCTCACTGTCAAATGTTTGTCTGGTATAAATGCAGATATTACCATTCTGTCCTAACAGTGATAGAGATTTGTATAATCATGTAATGATACATTTTCCCATTACTGTGCCATTCTGTATATTTGTTATTGTTTTGTTCCAACAGCTAAATAATTTTATGAAATTTTTGATCTACATTTCAGCAAGTATTTCAAAAGCCAGTTATACCAGATGAAGGTTATCAATGGAAAGCTCAAAACATTTTTAATTCTATAAATCTTGTTTCATCTGTACACCAAAACTCTGAACTCAATAGACAAAATCCCACAAGAAATCTAGTATCTCCTTCAGCTGATCAAAATGAACTACAAGTGAATAATAGGTTACCAACAGCCACCTTATTTCAGAAATCTCAAGGTACAAAGAAAGTTTCTTATTTGTTGCTAAACATGTACACATGTATGTATTAGTTAATATATTTATTCTAATCCTGAAAAGATTAATGCAGTTAGAAAGGTTATCAGGACTTGTATGGAGTAAAACTGGTTCTAGTTCTATCTGTTATTTGTTTTGTTTTTTTGTACAAGAATTTACATTTATGATATGCTTACATATTTATACTGAGAATTATTATAAAAGACATGTAGTTTAAAATGAAAAATGCTTTCATGTAGATAAATAAGCTAAGTATGCTTAAAAGTTTAGCATTTGTATTGTGTAAATTTGTAAACAATACAACCATAGCCATGACTGGTTTATTTATTTAATTTAATGTGTTTTACGTTGTATATGTGTTTCAGAACAGCAAACTACTGAAAATGTTGCCAGTTCACAGTAAAAACTTGACTGTATGGGTACAGGAGATATTTAAGTAATTCAACTTAGTATGTGAGAATGTGTTTGTTGGATCATTTGATTTAATGTAATGGGTACTTGAATTTAAAATCAAAAACTTTTATTTATTTATTTTTATGCATAAAATATTAATATTTATTCATGAAACAATAAATATAATTTATTGTCTTTTTTTTTGGTAGGGTGAGTGTATCTGAAATTAAGCTGAATCATAACTAAAAGCGTATTTTTATGTGGCTTAAATGAGAAAATAAATATTTTTTGAATATTACTTGGTACATTTCCATGACTACAGAAGTGCAGGTTCCTAGAGATGCAGTTTTGGTGGATCAAAAAGTTACAGTTGAAGGAAACAAGATGCACACTGATAGCTATTATGCTCTTCCAACACGTGAAGTCATCTTAAACAAGAAAACAATTTTAGCTCCACCAAAGTATAAATTCATTGGCCCTGTTGAAAAGGGAATCCCAGTAGGATTACGAACTGTAAGTACCTTTCTTTTTGCTTTGATGCTATTCTTAATAAGAGATATTTAAAATATTTCAGCCAGTTTGATATACTTAACACTATAAATAGCTTGCTTACATTCAGGATTGAAATAAAAAAAAAACAGTAGAGGTATTCAGCTGGGTGACATGGACCTGTTTTTGAAAAAGAAAAAACTCTATGTATAAACATAAAAAATGACAAAGCAGCCCAAATAAGTCCCGGTACTAGTACCACCTTAAAAAATAAGTTCCAGTATTCAGTACTGGTAAGTACCGACAGAATTTCACCCCTGCTTACGTTAATCCAGAAAATAAATAATCACTGAAAATAATAAAATCGATTTTAGTTTTAGTTCACAAAAGATCATGATAATGAATAAATAAATGTAATATTCATTGGTGTTTGATCATGAAAATGTAATGAAATAACATAAATCTAAAAGTATAAAACCATTGTTGATCAACCAAAGTTGATTACTTTGTTGAATTTAATAATAGGGATTAAAATGTTCAGTTTAATAAAAGAATAAAAGTAGCAAATGTTTCTTTTTAATGATTTGTAGGCCATTATATTGTTTCCCAATGATATTATTCACTTTTTTGTATCATAAAAAAACAGCAAATACTCAGTTGTGAAAAGTGTATTTTGTTAAGCTGATTGTTTTTGTTATTGTTCAATAAGAAAGCTAATTCTATGTTGTTTTTTTTATTTTCAGAATGTTAAAAAGGAACATGCTAGTGATTGGTACAAATCTATGTTTCGATCACTGCACAAATACAATGAACCTAACAGTAAGTACAAATATATGTACCGATCACTGCTGTGACTTAATGACTATAGCAGTACCAAAAATATATTTTCCAATCACTGCATTGATCTAGTGAAATTAACAGTACTTATAAATCAAACAAACTGGATTAGGTGTGTATGTTCTTTATCGTTTTTGAACTTAAAAGTTTCAAATGTTTATACATAACAATGGAAGTTTTTTTTTGTCTTGTTAGCACCCAAAATTATCAAATTTTGTATGCATAATAATGGAAAGTTTTTAAAATGTAAGTGCCAAAGTTTTTAAATGTGTTATGCACATTAATGGAACGTTTTTCTAACTAGTGTGATCAAATGATTTATACATAATAGAGGGTAATTTTTTTAAACTGTTTAGCATCCAAAGTGGTAAAATGTTTTTAACTTGTTAGTACCTAAAGTTTTGGAATGCATAATGAAGCGTTTTTTTAACTTGTCAAAAACTCAAACTGTTATAATATCTTGTACATGTATAATTCTTTTCCTACTCTTCTTTGAATATTAAGATTTGCTTAGTATATGTAAACATAAATTAATTGCTGTGTAAACACACTAAATATTTTGGTGGATACATAATTAAAAAAGTTTGTAATTTATTACAGATCAAGTTTCCCATGCTAGTGGTTACATGTCTGAGCCTGAGCTGGATAGAGAAGGTAAGGATCCATCCAATTATCTTCATGTTATACTTTACAGTTTGAAAATAGACTTTATTTTTTACTTTTCAAAAAGTAACACTTAGTTTTTTATATTGTTGCGTATCTAGTCATTTGTTAATTCCCCATAGAAATTCTTTCTGAGAAACTTCAGCGATACAAGTCCTTTCTTAAATA